CTCAGCAACAATGTCAAGGTCACAAATCAAGGTCAACATTAAAACAAGGCCTTTGCTTGTCCCACCCACTAACTTCTTATCTGCTCAAGATAGTTTAACAAAACTTGATGCAAGTGTCTACCACCACTAAACTGCATGTTGTATAACCTTTTTATCACCCCAGCTCTAAGGTCACAAATCAAGGTCAAAGGTTATAAAAGGTCTGCTTGTCTGGGCCATTGCAATATATTGCTGTATAACAGTTTGTTAGCAGGCGTGTAATGTACAGTAGGCTGTACTCTTTATATCTTTGCTAACAGATGAATAAAGATGCCATCTCCTGCAGCAAAATCATAAACTTGTCAGACTCCTGCAGTTGTTCAGTCAGTGTGTGAAAAACACCTGCAAGCCAAAGACTTGCAGTCCAAGAGTGCTGAAGCAGCTGCTGCTTGTGTGAAAGCAGAAAGCTGCTACATTTCACCTGTCATGAGGGCTGAGGCTATTCAGAAAGCCTTTCCTGCCAAAAAAGCATGTGCTGGGGATTAGTCTTGGCTACTACCACAACAACATTTAGTGCAGAACGGTTCAGATGGCACGCTGAACTTTTTTGCACAGATATCTACCAGTGATCAGAGGTGCGTGTTGGCTAATACACTGCAGTGCACTCAGCCTCCTATGTGAAAGCAGATTTGCTCATTAGGAGTAACAATAGGATTTATCAGTAGCAATGGTATTTTCCAACACTTTACATGTTTATAAAATTCAAACTGATAAATAAATATCTGCATTTCTTTACATATATGTTCATATTAGTTTGGATTTCTGTTTTAAAAGGGAACACCTGTATCTTAACTGTATAGCTTAATATTTAAGGTATTTTCTAGGTGACTGTGTCATACACGGAGACATTTTTAATGACTGCAGTTCTTTTATGTTTATTATGCAACTGTTATTGCAATGCTATGAATGTTCAGATATCAAGCACCTACTTATATATTTGAATAAAACAAACTAAATGTGCACATCATGCTATCTCCAGAAGTTTTTTTCTTTCATTTATTTTAATGCTTACAGAAATATGTTTAACCATTTTTCTTTTCAAGGTTCAAGGTTCTTTATTGTCATTTGTATCACATGTGGTACATGAGGTGGAATGAAATTGTGTACCCAAGGTCCCAGTTACACTCAAAAATAGCACAAATATAAATTATAAAAAGGATTTAAGATGTACACGAAGATATATGCTAAACAAATGCTAAATGATACGCTCAAAGATCTATGATATACGGTAAACACTAATAATGTAAAATAATACGGTGTATTAAACAGGAGCCCGAACATTTAACAACGAGTGCGTCTAAATATGCTGCATTTCAGCTGCTTTGTTTTAACATTTTGATCAAGTACTATTTGTGCAATGAAGGTACTTGCTGAAATCATTCAGGACTCTTAGGAATTTATTTTGTGCATTTATTTTAATTCTTTTTAGGAGCCCTGATGTCTAATGTTCTTGCACTGGAATGTATTTGAAGATTTGTTCAGAACTTGACAAAAGTTAGAGTTTGGATCGAAAAATAACTAAATATGAATATTTACAAATTAATATAAATACAAATGGATAAAGAGGACCAGAATCTGTTTTTGCAAGTGTTTTAATTAGGGGTAGTTGCAGGCATTTAGTTGTTTCAGTTAACTGATTTATAGAAAACATGACTGTCAGGTTTTTCTCGGCAGATCAGGACAGAAGAACCCAGTTGCGCAGGCAGGACTCAGGAGGCAGATGTATAAGATAAAAAATACTTTTAATAATAATAATAATAAATCAAAAAGGCTGACATGGCAGCAAAACTTACATGGACTCAAGAAACACGATCACTCAGGCAGGACAAGACAGGACATACCCAACGACGAACCGACAATGACAGAACTGACAGACAGACTTTATATACACACAACCAGGACATGACACAGGTGACGATAATCAGAACAATCAATTCAGACACAAGGGAGAACAGACAGGGGGAAGGCCCACTAGATGGTGCCATCCTAACAGACTCAAGTAGGAGTTTTGATTAAACAATCAAGAATTTAAAACCCCATTTAGATGGTTATTCATTGCACAGTTGGGTAAAACATTGCAAATAAATCAGTCAGCTGATTTATCCATAATGTGGCTAAGTAGGTTAAAAATCTAAAGCAGGTCCTGATGAAATAAGAATGTAAGAAGAAATATCCTGATGCATGCTCAATAATGCAGGTAGAAAAATCCAAAAAAGTGAAATCTGGTTCTCTGGACATTCAAAAAACAAGAGAACAAAACAAACAAAAAAAAATGTAGAAACGTTTCGTCTCTCATCCGAAAGACTTCCTCAGTCTGAGGTGGGACGTTATGTTTAGAAAATAAACGTCTCAGTTTATCTGATACTCTCTCAACATACAGAATGACCACTGGTCTGGGTCTGGGTTCCTCCTATTCACCTGATGATACCGGTTTGATAGAGGACTTTTGCAAACCGAGGTGTACCGCAAACCCACCCACACAGACCAGTATTTGCAGTTTGACTCCCATCACTGTTTAGAGCACAAGTTAGGAGTCATCAGGACTCTGTATCACAGAGCAGACAGCATCCCCACTAACTCAGGAGCCAGGCAGAAGGAGAAATCCTACACAAGACAGGCTCTAGAGCAATGTGGATATCATAACTAGGCCTTCCTGAAAGCAGAGAAGAAACCCAAACAGGACTCCAGTCAGCCATCAGGTGCAAAGGAGGAACCCAGACCAGTGATCATTCTGTATGTTGAGGGAGTATCAGAGAAACTGAGACGTTTATTTTCTAAACATAACGTCCCAGTGGCTTTTAAACCCCAAAATACATTACGGCAAAGACTGGTCCATCCCAAAGATCCAGTCCCCCGGCACAAACAGAGTAATATTGTGTATGCTGTTCAGTGTCAGGAGGGTGATCAGTCTTACATCGGGGAAACTAAACAGCCACTGGCCAAAAGGATGGCCCAGCACAGAAGATCAACATCATCAGGCCAGGACTCTGCGGTCTACACTCATCTCCAGGCCAGCGGTCACTCTTTCAGGGATGAAGATGTTCACATCCTGGACAGAGAGGAACGATGGTTTGAGAGAGGAGTAAAGGAGGCCATCTTTGTGAAAAGAAATTGTCCATCATTAAACAGGGGTGGAGGCCTACGTGTTCAACTGTCCCCCTCTTACAATGCTGTGATTGCTAGTATCACTCAACCCCCTGTGAATAGTAAACAGCCATCAGTGTGCTAATGATCCATTGTTAGGCTGATGACCATGTGAGCAGCTGGTTTTGGTTGTCAGCAGCAAACTGGTTGATCCACTCTGAGAAGGTGCTATTTAAGAGACTGAGCTGAAAACAGCACCTCAGACTGAGGAAGTCTCTCGGATGAGAGAAGAAACGTTTCTACATTTTTTTTTTGCTTTGTTTTGTTTTTTGTTTTTTTGTTTTCTTGTTTTGTGAATGTCCAGAGGACCAGATTGAACTTTTTTGTAAGAAGAAATGTTTGAGAGAAGACTTAAAAACATAGTTATTTATATCTGCTTTCATTATTATGCTATAAGAAAAATGCATTAAAAAAAAAACTAAAAATGTGTGAAAAAACTATATTTGTATTCACAAAGTTTGTTTTCTCAGTCATCCAGGTATATAACAACAAAAAAGGTTGAATCATGTCATCTGGACTTCGTTTTTTTGTTAAAAAAGAAACGTTTCGCCCCTCATCCAAGAGGCTTCGTCAGTCTGAGGCCTAGCCATCTGGTATTACCCAGAAGCCACCCTGACTCTTGTGTTTCAAGCCTGCCTCAGATACCCCTGAAGTCTGGCCTTTTCACTAATGGTTTCAAAAACACAAAGTTTGTTTTCTCAGTCATCCAGGTATATAACAACAAAAAAGGTTGAATCATGTCATCTGGACTTCGTTTTTTTTTGTTAAAAAGAAACGTTTTAAACGTTCAAAATAAAATCCTGAACTCCAAAATGAGAACGTTATGGTAGTTTTTTGTGCCTTCTGACTAGTAGAAAAACAAATAGAGGGCATTAGTTGTATAACCTCAATCGGAAAGCCGAAATAACGTGAATTTTTCCCCTTAAATTTGCAAACTTGTTTACATTTTTTTTATTTTTTTTTCATTAGAACAATACAAACACAAAAACACATACAAAGACAGTCACAATGACAGCTTCACAATCAACAAACTTTCCAGAAAATATACATACAAAAAACCTCCCCAACAATATCCCGAACAAAACCACAACATCTTAGTGCATTCTAAAACTATTAACAACAAATTATAGGTGAGTAATCAGGGATAAAAAATAATATTAACATCACAATAAAATAAAAACAAAAATAAAATAAAAAACGTGGGGTTTATACCAACTTAAATTCTGATATTATTGAGAAAAGTTTGACTGCTGGGGCTGTATTAATTTTTTCCAAAGATTTACAAAATAATAATAAATCATTTTTTAATGCTTTTACAGCTGGAAGACATTTTGTAAAACGACATTTATGAATGTAAAATTTTGCCAACAGTATAATATTATTAATCAAATATTCAACTTTTTTATTCCTTATTGAAATTCCAAATTTTATTCCATTCCAGGAAAATGGTTCAACTTGGAGAGATTTAGATATCAACCAGTTATATATTTCTTTCCAAAGATTATTTACAATTTCACACTCGTAGAACAAATGTTCTGTTGATTCCGATAATGATTTACAAAAACGACACTCCTCCATTTCAAATTTAAAAATTCTTTTAATGAATTCCTGTGAAGGGTAAATATCATTTAGAATTTTAAAGTGGATTTCTTTAAATTTAGGAGGGGCAAACTTGTTTACATTAAAACTCGACATCCTCACTTCCGCGTATGACGTCATTTTATTGTTGTAGCTGACGTTCATTGAAAACTCGCGCATGCGCATCAGCCCGCCTCTGAAAACTCCCCCTTCCAGCGTCACCGAGCAGTGCAGGGGCTCAGGGGCTGGTCGCGAGGAGAGAGAGGGAGCGAGAAAGAGAAAGCGTCACCGCCGCCCATTCCGTCGAGCATCTTCAGCAACCAGCACCAAGTCGAGTGGGAGAACTCGAGAAGTCCGTTCAGACTGTCGTCCTGTGTCCGCAGTCTCTCTCAAAATGTCCGTGGGAAGTGACTTCGGAAACCCCCTAAGAAAATTCAAGCTGGTGTTTCTCGGGGAGCAGAGCGGTAAGATGTTCCAGTTCCTCCTCAAAGTTCGTGTTCGGATGTGTCGGTGAACTCTGTGCACCTGCTCCACAACTTCGTTCAGCTGGTCCGGGAGAAAGGCGCTTGTTTAGTTGAAGGCTTCTGAAAGACCTCACGGATGTGGCTCGTTTTGGTTTGTGAGCGCGTGAAGAAATGGACATTTAATGAACCAGTGAGGCTTCTGAAGAGACGTGGCCTCCTTAAGTTCATGAAGGACAGATGACGCTGATGTCCACCTTATACTTGTCTAGGATTTATAATAATTCAGATTATCCATCAGTTTGGGGCAAGCTGTGTCTCTGAATGTTGATCAGGTCTGAGGATGCTCCAAGTTGTGTGTTCAGACACACCCAGAGGCCATGAGATCATTCCCATCTGTGATTCATGAGTCTTCATTTAAAGCTTTGCAATCCAGTCTGAGCTCCTCGTGCCCACACCCTCAGACAGTCTGGAGCTCCTTATGTTTCTGAGGCAGCTAAATGGTTTCCCCAGAAGATTAGAGCTGCTGAAGCATGATGTAAACCTCTGGGTTTGTCTTGGCTTCAGACGGGGCAGGTCTGCTTTAAGATCTGCTTCTGAGATGTTCTGCAGCCAAACGAGGACGTCTCAGTCCCATCATACATTATCATGAGAGTGAAGTCTTTTCAAAAACATCTGCATCGTATCGGAGTATGAGCAGATCTTGGTCCATCGGAAGCACCTGGTGGTGTTGTACCGCTCTCATTTATTATTTAGGCTGTCAAACAGTTGATTAACAGAAATACTTACTTATGATTATTTACCAAGCGTGGATTTGAATTTATTCGTTACATATTTCTCTCATAATAGAGAATGAACAGTAAACATCAGCAGAGCTGTAAATTCTTAGTTGTTCCAAGCTTAGATTACAAAATAAAATAAAAAACATTTTGATTCAGCAGAAATGAGTGCACATGTGCACCCTGTAAGCACGGAAGGGTGCCGTCAGCTTCGGTTTGCAGATGTTTCGCAGTTTCTAACTCTCCCGCTTCTCAAAATATTTGACATTATCGTCCATCTGTTGCAGTCAAGGTGTTCAAATAATAAAACATCTGCACCCATCATGAAATAATAGAAGTAAAGTTTTAAGTATCACTTTAAATATGGCATCTGCCACACAAATCTTTAAACAAACTAAACATTTACCACAACACATACACATCTCCAGCTGTACTAAATAACATTTAAACAGATTAATAATAATAAATATACACATGTATGCTGTTAAAAGAAGTGTGTGATACAAAAGATAAAATTCTACAGTCTTTCATATTCGTGTCCCACTTTTCTTAAACAAATGAAACGAAAATAATCCAGCATTGTCGTTTTCTCATTTTTAATAATAAATAAAAACACAATAGTGTGAGTATTTATTACGGTCATGTGGTGACTCTGGGGTCATATCAGGCCCATAAGTTCATTCAGTCAGTTGTCAGAAGATATATATATACATATATATATATATACATATATATATATATATATATATATATATACATATACATATATATATATATCTTTTACCATTTTTTAAGGTTTTCTAAGGCTGATTAGATGTGGCAGCCATCTTGGATTAGGTTAACTCTTAATTTAATGTAGATGCAGATCCAATTATGATTTTCTCTGAGAGTTTTATTAAAATTCATCCACTGGTTTGCAACATAGGGTGGCACGGTGGCGCAGTTGGTAGAGCCGCCTCTCGACGAGCAGGTCACCCTGGTTCAAATCCCAGCCGGGGGTCTTTCTGGGTGGAGTTTGCATGTTCTCTCTGTGCATGCGTGGGTTTTCTCCAGGTACTCCAGTTTCCTCCCGCAGACCAAAAACATGCATGTTAGACTGATTGGTAACTCTAATTGTCTCTAGGTGTGAGAGAGAGAGTGAATGGTTGTTTGTCTTGTTTGTCCCTATATGTCTCTGTGATGGACTGGTTACCCGTCCAGGGTGTCCCCCACCTCTCACACAGTGACACCAGTGAGCCCCGTAATCCGAAAAGGAAGAAGCGGGTAAAGATAAGATAAAATAGAACTTTATTGATCCCACAGGAAATTGTTGTGCCAGAGTTTCAGTACAAAGGAAACATACACAAGGAATCACACAAGATATAAAACAAAGATAATTAAAAAAAAATAACTGAGAGGTATAAAAATACCAACAATTAAGGTCCAAAAGGTCCATTAAGGTCCATCCATTATCTTTACCCGTTTATTCCATTTTGGGTCACGGGGGTCGCTGGTGCCCATGTCCAGCAATCACTGTGCGAGGGGCGGGGTACACCCTGGACGGGTCGCAAGTCCATCACAGGGGCACATAGAGACAAACGAGACAAACAACCATTCACTCTCTCACTCACACCTAGGGACAATTTAGAGTTACCAATCAGCCTAACATGCATGTTTTTGGTCTGTGGGAGGAAACCGGAGTACCCGGAGAAAACCCACGCATGCACGGAGAGAACATGCAAACTCCACCCAGAAAGGCCCCTGGACCGGGATTTGAACCAAGGACCTGCTCGCTGAGAGGCAGCAGCTCTACCTGTTGCGCCACCGTGCTGCCGTCCATTAAGGTCATTAAGGTCTTTAAAGATAATGGTTTGCCACGTATAGGCTGTGCCACTTAAGCTACTATTGGCTGTTGTAACTAGAATTGTGTCTTTTTAGCAGATTAGCAGGAGGTTTAGTTATTTGTCTCGTTGTCACAGTTGTGTGATGAAAATGGTGTTTTTGTCCTTGAGAGCAGTTCTCGTAGGGAATGTGCCAAGTGCTATGTGATTGATTATAAATAAAAATTTATTATAAACAGTGTTAACTTATCTTTTATATACACAGACTATATATATATGAATGTTTCTGTTCAGTGCCCTGAGATGACTTCTGTTGTAACTTGGCGCTATATAAACTGAATTGAAATTGAATTTAAATCTGCATTCAAAAATTCATGTTTGTGTTCACTAAAGAGGCTCTTCCATCTGTGATAAAGTAGTTTCTGAAAGTGAAAACTATCATCGTCAGCAGCTGCAATCTTGCATCAGTGTTTCCTCAACAGTGTCAAAATATAAACTGTGGAGACCAAGAAGACACCTGACTCAGCAACTTTGTGAGCCTGAAAGAGTTTTCTAATTTGTTGATGGACTGACTGAATTATAGTTACACTTACATAAACTGTTTCCTGCACTATCTAATTATTAATCAGTCTGGAAAAATATAATTTACAGCACACTGTGGTGGAATCAGAGTTTGCTCTGATTGGTGGGAGGCTGCAAAACAACAGGACTGAAGGGGCTGAGCTTATTCTCCAGTTCACACAGCTGTTAGGATGTTTAGATTTATTTATTCATATTGTGTATGTACGTTATATATATATATATATATATATATATATATATATAATATTTTTTTTTCATTTAGCCTTTATGTATACAGGTAGTCTCATTGAGCCACGAGAACTC